TATTTGCTGTGAATTTTGTGTGAGCTGTGCTTCATACATTGCAACACTACTGACAATAGTGCCAAATAGCCAAAGAAATTTGTCTGTCTTTTGCACGAAGACAAGAACTAATTTTCCTTGCAAACAAGTGTCTACCACATACTTTATCTCTTGTTAAGATATTTTAAAACACAGATGTAACAACAAAAGTACAATTAGTTTTATTAAGAAAAAAATATTTGAGCAAAGAACTTTGGAAACCATTGCCATGAACAAACTCCTTGCCATTATTGTGAATAGTCAACTATGTCTAATGAAATTCATGCCTCTTCTATGAATTTATATGCTGATCTCTTTTAAAGCCATACAAATTGAGTGAATTATAAATAATTTATTCACTATTTGTGACGATCACATGCCATAAAAGAGTACAATGTAATGTAACGGCACTGTAAAAATCCCATCAGAATTAACCAACATTAATTTAGGGAGCTTCAGGCACATACCAGTTGGATAAGTCATCTTCAGTAGGAAGATGGTTGAAATGTTGGTTGAAATCCAACTACATGGTGATTGTTTTAACATGATCTGACAGCTGTATTCCCACGTTGATTTCTTCAAAAATGACAATTTCCCCATGATTTACTCACCCTCAAGCCATCCTAGGTGTATATGACTTTCTTCTTTCAGATGAATACAATCAGTAAAAAAACTCAAGAATGTGAAGTCCAAAAAACTGCATCCATCTATCATAACAAGCGCTCCACATGGCTCTGAGGGGTTAATAAAGGCCTTCTGAAGCGAATTTATGCATTTTTGTAAGCCGTAATCTCTAGCTTCCACTAACTGTCGTACGCGCATTCACGAGAGAGTGACGTTCCAGCAGATTTTACTCACCCTCAAGCCATCCTAGGTGTATATGACTTTCTTCTTTCAGATGAATACAATCAGTAAAAAAACTCAAGAATGTGAAGTCCAAAAAACTGCATCCATCTATCATAACAAGCGCTCCACACGGCTCTGAGGGGTTAATAAAGGCCTTCTGAAGCGAATTTATGCATTTTTGTAAGCCGTAATCTCTAGCTTCCGCTAACTGTCGTACGCGCATTCACGAGAGAGTGACGTTCCAGCAGATGACGATTTTTCTTCAGAACGCATTTATTAACCCCCTGGATCCGTGTGGAGCATTTTTATGATGGATGGATGCAGTTTTTTGGACTTCACATTCTTGATTTTTTTTAATATAACATTTTTTAATATAACTCAGATTGCATTAATCTGAAAGAAGAAAGTCATATACACCTATGATGGCTTGAGGGTGAGTAAATCATGGGGTAATTTTCATTTTGGGGTGAAATATCCTTTTAAGTGGTGCTTTGTGCATTCCTACACTATCGACAGTATTTTTGTCGGTGAAATTTTGCTGGTGTGGCCACAACTTATTGCAAGTTTACCCATTTTATTGTTCCACAAATTTCCACAATAAACTGCCCGTGTTCTGTTCTGTTCACTAGATCTAACGCCAAAGAACAAAAAGAGAAAACCAGTGGTTACAAGCTGGCTGAGAAAGAAGAAAGCGTCTCCAAAGTATAACCTCTCAACATCTGATGAAACCTGAGCAAATTACACTTGCAGTCCATCCGTTTTTCCATCATTCACGTTTCTGTCCTTGACTCACAGGCCTAGTCGCTAGGAAACCATCTGGTTGCATGCAATATTTAGATCAAAAATGTTCAAGGAACTCTAAGGACTATTTGAGGTCTGTTCTTCTTCAACCACATTCTAATCCAACAGGACCCGAAAAACCCTATGATGACACGAGAGGAGAGTAAAAATATGTCGTTTTTATACAGTATGTAATTCACCGCATTTGTATAACCCACCAGTCGACATCAAACCTGGTGCTTTGCGAAGCAGGAGCCATCATACAATGATCTGCCAGGGTGGCCTTCCTTTGCTGTGCGCCAGCATGTGACATCTCTCTGCGCAGTGCCAAGCAGATGTGGTGGGAAAACGCAGCTTCTGCCCGAGGCAACGAGGACGTTCTGGTTCAGCGTGGATATGTGGCGGCCTGAGATGGGTAGTTATGATGTCCCCACCCTGTATTTACTATTGTGCTGTTGGACCGATTAGAGTAATGAAAGGGTACGTGCACAGCCGCGCTCTCGGTTCCCACTGAACATGCCACAGAACTGGCCTATTGTTCCCCAGCTTGCATGTAGGTTGACCTTTGACCTCTCGTTGCCTGAGCAATCATGAGACTAAACGCCCATGCAAACCCTGTAACCCGTGCATCATAATGTACCGGAATGCTCAGGCTTTCCCAGACTGCATAACGACTCAAGTGATTAGCTTGATGAACGAAAGGCTCGTTCCTGATTTTCAACATCCACCTTCACCTGCCTGTCATTTTCAAGCGATGAACGATCTGGATTAGCTGTTTGATTTGAGTTGACTCCACAGGAAGTTGATTTCCTGGGGGTTTGAGTTCTAGTGTTAGAGCTAATGGCAAAATAATGATAAAAATTATGAGTGTGTGCAACGATCATAATTATTATGATTGACTTTGGAGATATTGAAGCTATGAATTCTGAGGTCAGTTTTGGGAGATCCTGCTCAAAAGACCAGTTTCCATGATGTGTTTTTTTTTCTGGTAAAGCTGGTAAACCATCTCTGCTGAAGATGATTGACCGAAGAACCTTGGTGGTTAAGCTATTTGTTAAGCCTTCTATTTCAACCCAGCAGTTGCTGAATCTTGAAATAGACTCTCCTCTAGGCATGGGCCGGTATGAGATTTTGACGGTATGATGCAATTAGGAATCATTGGTTAAGATTTATTTACAACAGAACAGCACAACCCAGATGTTCGAATTTGTGCAACGCATTTTATGGACGACAGTTTTTTTAACCTAGAAGAGTACAAGGCTGGCTGTGCAAAGGCTATTTCTAAGAAAAAAAAGGGCGTGTTTAAGAGAGGCGGGGCATAGAGGACCTACAATAATGTACAGTATTTGAAAAATAATGTGTTTTTTGAACATTAAAGCATGTCAACATATTCTGTTACACCAAATACACAAAATAATGATCTTTAAAATAGCATCATATGACCCCTTTAAGTTCGGCCATCCTACACACACGTGACCTCTCGCTCACACCAACAGGAGGAGGAAGGTCGTGTTACTCTCTACACTGCACTCAACCTGAGGGATTCCTACATTTTCAGTCTTTGAGGAGACATGAAAAACAGCGCATACCACAGGAACGGTATAACGGAAAATATTAGCGGTTTTGAAACCGTGAAATTTTCAAACCGCGGTATACCTTGAAACCGGTAATCGGCCCATGCCTACTCTCCTCAGATGGAAAATGATAATGAAAGGCAAACAGAATGTGATTATGATTTATTCTGCTTCTTGTGCACTGCATATCTTTGTGATGAACACTGTGAATTTTGAGATACTATGTTTCATTGTATTTTTCCTCATTTTGTGTCTTAAAAATTGTTTTAGTGAAGTGAATCTTTGTGTTGTGATGATTTTTTTGTACTTATTGACATGATAAAGCACAACTTATATTATGTTATATAATATTTATTAGTAGTTTTATTTCTTTTTGTACGGTATTATAATGGGAATTGTTGTGTATAAAACTTAAATAAATCTTTATATTACTACTAATGTGGGAAATATAATTTTCTAAATTTTGACTAAAAATGTATGTAGGCTACTACTTTAATGCTGATATTAATTTAGTTTACAAACTACATTTGCAAAGCACATGAAGTAATATCTGATCATATATAATAAATTAGACTATAAATATAATTTCATAGCATTTATGTGTCACAAATAACAATAATTAATATTTTCAAACTTTTTGCATACCACGAGAACCAAGACACAATTTGAAAATTAAAAAAATACAAATACAGTAGGACAAACAAGAAACAAATTGTTAAAAGTTACAGGTTAGGAGTTAATCTCCAAAGCATCTGATGATCAGATCATGATTATGTCAGAAATGAATTGATTACATCACAAAAACTCAACTAATTTCATACTTGGAAGTCTAAAATAATCAGCAAGTCTCCACAAACTGCTTCTTTTCAAATCTAAGTAGTTTATTGTGATGTAAACAGTCTAGTAGCAGAAGACAAAAAATCACAACTTAACAATAAATATAGGTATATAACAATAAATATAAAGGTATTATGAGAGGAAATTAGTGCAAAACTGGTAAGGGGTGGATGATTAACAAAAGTGAGGCAGGGGTATTTGTAATCAAATGTGTTTTATTGGTTTATATGGGTGTCGGACCCTCGGCTCCTTTTCAATGTTTTGTTAATCACTATTACACCTGCTATAAACCTCAATCATAAATACTACTATATATAATATTATTATAGGCCTATATGTTTACTAAATAGTAATTTTAAACAAGTTTACTAATTATATAAGTTAATATAATTTAATATACTATAATATATAAACTATAATATTGTTTAGTTTACATATTAATCTTAAATTTACAAATTACATGAGATTATATCTGATGATATATAATAAATTAAATACAATATAAATTAAATTTTATAGTATTTTTGTGACCTATACTTATAATTAAATAACATTTTAACACGTTTTGCATAAACGGAACAAAAAAAAAAAAGTACAATTAAAACAAAAATATTCTGATATTTACCTTGGGTTTGTCATTCGTCTTTGTTTTATTCACACATCACGTCTAATATTTCACCTCAAGCTGTTATATAAACCATAACTTTTAAACAAAAACTTAACGGGATAACTTGAATACATACTGTGCATTATATTTTTGACGATAAAACTGAATAAGAGAAAGAAACAGGAGTGACTGAATATCATGGTGCTGTAGTTTTTGATGTTGTAAAACTTGAAGCAATGGCGTCCTCTAGTGTTCACTGACCGAAGCACTCGGATTTACAGCTGATTGTTATTGTACAGCTAATCTCTCTTAATTCATAACTACTGTAGTTTTTAATCATGTACCACCAACCCGTGCTGAAAAACAGACAGACTCTACTGGAGCGAGCGGAGAAGTTTATCTCCGATATATATTTCACAGACTGCAATCTTAGAGGAAGGTAAGCCAGTCTCTTTCTATGCATACTATTGTTTGGTTATTTAATTATTCATGTTTATGCAAATTTACTGGACCCTTTTCAGGTTAAACATACATTTTACTCTATATGTCGTTAAATAATTATTATTTAGTAGTTATTTCTTGTAAACTATTCCTTGATGGTTAATAAAAGACCTTTGACCTTGTTTACTCTAGTTGATGGTTTGTTATGAGCAGTGATTTAAACACTCATTCCCTGCATACTGTTTGGAGACACTCATCCGCTTGAATCCATCTCTGTGTTCCTGTCGGAGAAGCGTATTCCTTATTCAGAAGCTGTCCAACAAAACTTCCAGCCATGTAAAGTTGGTGACACATTCGGGCCCACGTAAGTTGCTTAAAAGGTTTACTGTCTAACAAACTGTATATAGTAGTATATTGCCTGTAAATGTTTCTCAGATGGTGGACGTGCTGGTTCAAAGTGGTCTTGAAGATCCCCGAGGCCTGGAGAGGGAAGGAGGTGCACCTGAGATGGGAGAGCGATGGAGAGGGAATGGTGTGGTGGGATCAACAACCAGTCCAGGTCAGGAGACCAAGGCCGCATCTGGATCTCATGAATGACTTGCAGAAGGTTTACGAGTGCATTCAATGCGAATTCTTTTTCAGGGTTTGACCAAAGAAGGTGAGAAGACCAGTTATGTTCTGACCGAGTGCTTGAAGGACAGTGAACCTCATGGGTATGTGGAAATCTAATAGAATAGCCTGAATTTATATGCATTTGGTTCAATCTGCATGTTTGAATCTCAATTTTCAGCATTACCCTGTACGTGGAACTTGCATGTAATGGACTTTTTGGAGCCGGGCAAGGTTCCATGATCGCTGCCCCCGATCCAAACAGGAAGTTCACTCTCCAGAAGGCAGAGCTTGTTGTTTTCAATCGAGACGTCAGAGAGCTTCTCACTGACTTTGAGATGCTAGTGGATATTGTCAAGGTATTGTCACACTTTGATGTTAAAGTTGGCTGAGAATCAAAAATATATGCACTAAATACATGTTCCTGGTCTGTTTTACACTGTGTTTGGACAGATACTAGGAGAAGGAGAGCAGCGCGGGTTCCAGGCCTTGTTTACAGCCAATGAGACTTCATTTAAAACTTCATTTGCTGCTGCTCGGAGTCTAGCTCATAAGTTTTTTGCCCAGAAAAATGGGGAGAGTCAACACGTGGTGCATGCCATGGGTCACTGCCATATTGACTCGGGTAATATTTAATAAATGTTAGTTCACTTCACTATTTATGACACAAAAAGTAGTTTTATGTTTCATTTATACAGCTAAATTTATACATGTTTCAGTATGCTAAAATGTACCCTAGCCTTCAAATTAAAAAAAAACAATCTTTTAAAGAAATTATTACTTTTTTCAGCAAGGACGCATTAACTTGATCAAAAGAAAATAAAAAAAATTGTTACAAAAATTATATTTAAATAAATGCTGTTCATATACATATGTATGTAAGTGTCCACTTATAATTATATAATCCAATTTGTGTCCACGAAAATATTAATCAGCATATTAGACTGATTTCTGAAGGAAATGGCTGCTGAAAATTCAGCTTTGCCATCACAGGAATAAATTACATTTTAAAATATATTAAAATAAAATAAAACAATTGCTTTAAATTGTAATAATTTCACATTTTTTTTAATTTTCACTATATTTCTTGGTAACATATGTGCAGCCTTGGTAAGTGTAACAGACTTTTTCATAAACATTTAAGTCTTACTAACTCCAAAATTTTCAACAGTAGGGAAACATTACAAATATTAGATCATGTTGGATGTTTTCAATCCCCTCCTCAGCTTGGCTGTGGCCATATGAAGAGACAATCAGGAAGTGTGCTCGCAGCTGGGTCACTGTGATCAGACTGATGGAGAAGAACCCAGAGTTTGTCTTTACATGCTCACAAGTATGTTTCTGACTATGCTTACAGATTTTCTTTCTTTTTAGGCACAGTGAGAAAGAACTCCCTTCACTGTGGGCGTAAACCAATGGAAAATGCTTAATAAACGTACTAAATATTGTGTTAATTCACATGTAAAAAGGTTTTTTAGGTTAGGGTACAAAACACTAGACGTCATTGTCAATGAAATGCTCTCATCAAAAGCAAACATTGTATGTTCAGGCACAGCAGTTCCAGTGGGTGAAGAGCTGGTACCCGAGCCTGTTCTCAGAGATCAAGCAATTTGTGCAGAAAGGCCAGTTTATTCCGGTCGGAGGCACGTGGGTGGAAATGGTAGGATGAAAATATTTGTGCACGTTTCTTCACCTCATTCTCTTCAGAACTAGTTAAAATATCTTTCATATTTCTTTGTATCAGGATGGCAACTTGCCGTCTGGGGAATCTATGGTCAGATTTCTTCAAAGATGAATTTGGACAGTATTGTAAAGAGGTGAGGTACCTCTATTTGTCTAAAAAATGTACATTCACTTCCTATGACTCAATACAGTTCATATATTTTCTCTACTTCGTTATCAGTGTTGATGCAGGTGCGTGCAGTAACTCATGGGCACGGTTGACCAGGTCTTGATATCTTTTGAAAATAAATCTGCAGTTTAATAGGAAAGAACAGCTTAAGAAAGAAAAACAGTGCACATCTTTTCTCTGCCAAGGCTGAGGAGGTCTTGAGAACCTGAAAGGAGGGCACATGAGGCTGTATATCTGTCAGACACAACCCACAGATGGGCCTTGAGAAGAGATAATGAAACAAAACCATTTTTACGTTTGACTCATTTATTACATTGATTTAAATAGGATCATCTTGAACTGTATCAATATAAAAATAGAAAGAGAAAGAAAATATATTCCATTCTTTCTTACCAACAGCATGAAGTGCATTAAACATTACATTGTCAGGATTTCTCTACATTGGTTTGAAAGACTAATACTTAATAAAATTATAAATATGTTATAAATTAATAAATAAAATGAAGATGAAATATTTTGTTTACCTGCATGTCATGTGAGAATTAACTGACATAAGAGAACCCTGACCATCTAAATGTGTTGTTAATTTATTGAAATATTAACTTAAAATCTCAGGAGGTATTTAATGTAAATTTATTAGATTAATAATTTGCGGATTTTAACAAGAAAACAAAAGCCTTCTAAAGAAAAAGCAATACATTGTTAATTATACGAGTGTAATTATAGCCACCTGACTAGTGGCCAGCGTGTGCAATTCCACAAAACGGAAAGATTTTCCAAACATATAAAAAGAATAATTAAGGAGAATGAATAATGATTTGCCACTGTATGAATAGAATGTAATCAGTAATAGTAGCTGTAATCTGATGCGTTTTAAAATGTAATCTAATTACAATGATTTAGTTTGTAGAATCTGATTACGTATTGTGTAATCTGTGTATAATCAGATTACCTACACAGATTCATGTATTATGCTAGTCACTGTTCTAAAACCCAAACACACACACTACTAAATCACTGTCTGCTGTACCTCACACAGTTCTGGCTGCCAGACACGTTTGGTTACTCCGCACAGCTGCCTCAAATCATGAAAGGATGTGGGATTTCTCGTTTTCTTACTCAAAAGCTAAGTTGGAACCTTGTTAACACATTCCCGGTATGTACCTACCACATCTGTACACATAAAAAACCCTTTTTGTGGTTGTTTTGATGTTTAAAAGCACATAAATCTTTCCTCTTTTCCACCAGCATAACACATTCTTTTGGAAAGGTATTGATGGGTCGCAGGTTCTCACTCATTTTCCTCCAGTAACTCCTAGATGAAGGGAAAAGTGGAAGATGTAAGTGTGTCATCATGTGATGTATCATTTGAGAGCTTCCTCTAATGAACGCCCATCTCATTTCTCCTTTCTTTGGCTCGACACAGCTGATTAACACGGTAAAGAACAATAAAGACAAGGGACGAGCCAATCACAGTGTGGTATTGTTTGGTTTCGGAGACGGGGTTGGTGGCCCCACACAACTTATGCTGGACCGTCTACGTGTTCGCGACACCGATTGTCTGCCAGTCAGTTTCCTTTTTGTCTGTCTGAGGGTGTAACACAAAAACACTAATTTGCTGCTTAGACCAGATAATATAATAAAACTAACATTAAAATGCACTTAGCCTGTGACACAAATGCATGACGTCAGTGATGAATGATTACCAGAATCGGTGGTCTTTATTTAGTCATGATGTGAGATGATCGTGATTGTGTCATCAAGGGTCCAGGTGTCAAGTCCTGATGTCCTGTTCTCTCAGCTGGAATCAGACTCATCCCTCCTCTGTACGTGGGTTGGCGAGCTCTTCCTTGAGCTACATAATGGCACTTACACCACACAAGCAAAGGTGTGTTTCCATCTCTCAAAACCCAATAGTGCACTTCCAAATTGATAAAATTAGTGAAATTGCACCTGCATTAATTTTCATTGTTCAGTGCACGATTTGATAAATAAATAAAAATAAAAATGAAAAAATAGTCAAGATTTTGCATTTAAAACAATTAATTTTGTTTCACATGACCATTTTCCATTTCTCTGACATAACAGGCTTTTTTGGTTACCATACCTTTAAGAGTGTTTAAATGACCTCAGTTATGATTGGCTAACCTCCTCTTGAAAGTGTAGTTCACAACATTATTCATCGGGGTTGGGTTTCCCAAAAGTGTTGTGAACCTAATTTCATCGTAACAACCATTGCCATCTATGGTCTCTACAATCAACTTTAGTCATGATGGTTTTGAGAAACCCAGCCCAGATATATAAAGGGAGTGATCATTTATTAATATGCCTAGTGTTCCAATATAAACATATGTCAGCGTCTGAATGATCATGCCTCCATTTAATTCTTTTTCTGTAGATAAAATTGGGAAACCGCCAATGTGAAGCTTTGCTTCATGACATTGAGGTGGCTAGCTGTCTGGCCTTGTGTAAAAGAGTTGGCTTCAAATACCCAGCAGGCAAACTTCAAGAGCTGTGGATGTAAGTGCTAATGCATCAAACACTCAAACAAGATTAGGTACTTCCCACAGACAAAACATAACATTGTTCAAATGACCTTATTTTCAGTCAACCTCAAAGATATCTCCTACTCATATCTAATAATAGGGTAAGATTTCATTAAAGTAGAGAAAGGCTCTTTGAACCACATCCCCTATTATGGTCCCTGCCTGTTTCCTGCAGCCTTGGTGAAAGTACCTAGTGTGGGCGTAGCTCAAGTCACAGAGACGGCAAAGCCTAAGGACTCCGTTTCTGTCACAATGACGGTACTTGATTCCCTTGGAATATTCCATCATTCCATGTTTTTCTTCAACCCACACATTTTCGTCATTCTGTGGGTTCTCTGTGTGATGCAGGTAGATGGGACTATTATTATGGAGAATGGTCTTTTGAAGGCCACGATAGACCAAACGGGTCGTTTGATGTCTCTGCTTTTGCTTCAAGCAAACAGGTGAGTCATAATGTAGGGCCTTCAAGAAAAGTGCAAAATCTTATAAGGTTGTTTAAGTCAAGTCAAGTCAAGTCAAGTCAAGTCCCGCAGCTCTTCGGCGTGCGCAGAGTTTAACTCTAAAAATGTGGTTCTGCCGACATTGAGCCGAAACTCACGACTGTATGCGCGCTTAGAGACAGATAGACGCGACAAATACGTACAAAAACACTGCGACTCACAAGACAAAAAACACGAACACTTTACTTACTGCAAGAAACTATGTTATGACTCCAGGGAAACCATTTCTGAGGGTTACCTCGGGAACCAGTTTGCATTGTTTGATGATGTGCCTCTGTATTGGGATGCCTGGGATGTGATGGACCACCACCTTCAGACAAGGTGAGCCTGTTTCTTGTCACTGCAGGTGGGATCAGATTCTGATCCAGTATGAACCCAGCTTTGAACTCTGTATGAACCTAAATTAAAGTCATAATCTTGATGGCAATAACTCTTACTTTCCTAGAAAGCCTGCAGTTGAGGTCATTGAGCCTGCCAAAGTGGTGAGATCAGGGGGACTTCAGGGCAGCGTCTCCTTCTCGCTAAGAATTAGTGGAAAAAGCACTATTAAACAGGAGATTCTTCTGGATGCTTGCTGCCCCTATATCAAATTCAACACGCAGGTAGCTAAGATTGTCATCTTATGTTTGATATTTAATCAACCGATTGCTCAAGAAACTTGGTGACGCATAATGGATATCTTGTTTCCAGGTGAACTGGGAAGAGTCACATAAGTTTCTGAAGGTGGAGTTCCCTGTGCAGGTGCGCAGCCCAAATGCTTCTTATGAGATCCAGTTTGGACACTTGCAGAGGCCCACTCATAGAAACACATCCTGGGACTGGGCTCACTTTGAGGTAGTGTGTACTTGGTTTAATCCTTTTTATACAAATTTCACCCTCAATCCATGCAGTTCTTGTCAAGAGTCCACTTCGTAGTAGTAGTCGAGTTATAGTCTACTGTGACCTCACCATTGTGGGCGTGGCAAAGGGCACAACAACCCAGCAAACATGCCTCTTTGGGGCCTGTGTGGGCCCACTGCATGCAGAGAATTGAGCCACATGCAGGCAGCCTGCTGTGGGCCCCGATACCGGCATGAAATACAGGGCATGTGTGGGCCCCACACTGTGGTGCATGGGTGGGGCCTGAGTGGCACAGCCCAAAGTAGGGGCTGAGTGTGGGCTGGCCCACACAAACCAGAGTGGGCCCCCACTGGGGCAAATTGTGGGACCATAACATGCCCACAGTAGGGGCTTTCACACCGGAAAAATAGTCCTATAGAACTACCGGTGACGTAAGTGTACGCGGTTTGGCCAAACACATACAAAACACCGGCTACCCGGCATTTTTAAAACATGTAAAAATTTTTAAAACATGTAAAAAATATTTACTCCACAAACATTAAACAGAGATAATGGTATTTGGCTACCTGTTGTCTGCAGCGTTCTTTTCTTAGACTCGATGATGTGTAACAATGCAAGTTGTCACAGGAGATTTAGTCAGATTTTCATGCTCTTTCAATCACGTAAATTGTGTGTTTACATTCCATCTCCGTTATCACGAAACCCACGACACAATAAAACAGCTCCGATTATGGTGTCCTCCATTCACTGGTTGTTGATGTTTGTAAATGCCGCGAATAAAGACATCGCTGTCGGCCGCTTCAGAGATCCTGCTGCCGCTGCGACTGCAACCAGGAAAACGGCCTGAGGAGGAAATTGGTTCGTGGTGCGAAAGCTCCTAGTGTGGCCCTGTCCCAAATGGAACACTTCATGTGCACTTGCGGTCTTCCGGACTTACAAAGGCCGCCGCGCGTGTGTCCGTTAAGTTCACGAGACCGTAGGGTGTCCCATTTGTCATTTTAGCGTTCAGAAGGTTGCTCGCGAGCGCCCCCTTTGTTGCCGTTATGCGCCCTTGATCCGCACCGGGGCGAGCTCCGCAGCAGACTTCTACCCAACAGTCAAAGCGGCATTACGTCAAGAAAATGCGGACTCAGAGGAAGACCGCGAGGGTTTAGGGTGCCATTTGGGACAGGGCCTGTCTACACTGTGGACTAGGTGTGGGCATACTGTGGGCTGGGAAGGGAACATGGTGGCCACAAAGAGGTGCTCATGAGAGCCCTTTAAGAACATTAATTTATAAACAGGAAACACTGTGGCAGGGTTGGGCAACTCTGGCCCTCAAGGTCAACTACAGACTTTAGCTCCAAGTTTAGTCTGTAAACTTGATGGACTTAGTGTAGCTAAAGCTACGAGTCACCAAAGTCCACAAGTACTTTGTTTAGGACACTTTGTGCCAAGTGTACATTTCAGTAACTTGTTTACTGAAAAAAAAAAAAAAACCACATTTTAAACCTGATTCTTTAGCTCAAATCAGGCTAAAAACTTAATTTTTTTTATAGTTGGTCCAGTGAATGCCCATGCACATTCTAGGCCAAAAACAATGTCAATGCCTCACCAATAGGACAATTGTCTCTTTTAATTCAATAGACTGTGCTTCCCAACACCCCCGTGTACTGAACACTGCAGTTTCTCCCATGGGTTTCTCAGCCATGTCTCCTCCTTATAACATCTGTGGTTTTATGTTCTTTTGGAAAACCTTACATAATGTATGCGTTTATTTAATAGGTGTGGGGACACAAATGGGCTGATCTGTCTGAGCATGGCTTTGGCGTGGCTCTTCTTAATGACTCCAAATATGGCTACGCGATCCATGAAAACATCATGACCTTGTCCCTGTAAGCTACCCACAGAATGAACAAACAGCAGTATCTTTCAAACACAACTACAGACAGGTCATTAAAATGTGCTATGTTTTGGCTAACATCACCTTTTTTTCCACAGATTGCGTGCTCCAAAAGCACCAGATGCCAATGCAGATATGGGTAGTCATAATTTTACCTATGCCTTGATGCCACACACAGGTTGGTACATCTTCTTGAATCTAAAAACCATTATAAATAATTTTCAGACAACCATGAATAAAACCAATGCATGTGAAAAGGACTCTTCCAGGATGCTTCGGTTATCCAGTACGCCTACAACCTGAACTTCCTGCTCCACGTCTTTCATGGCGTCATTGCTGAGCCCTGGAGTGCATTCTCTGTAAACTGTCCTGCTGTCATCCTGGAGACCATAAAACAGGTGCCCATTCATGAAATGTCCTGTCTGTGACCTCTCCTAACAGATTTTGCCCACTGTGTTCAGCACAAACTCCGTTTCCTTTTTCTCACAGGCAGAAAGCAGAGAGAATGCCCTACTTATTCGCCTCTATGAGTCTCACGGAAGCAGCGTGACTATGACTTTGTCAACTTCCCTTCCCATGCAAGAAGCATGGCAGTGAGTAAACAATTAATACTAACAATACGTCCTGATTCCAGTATTCCGGTGTCGAAGACTTCCTCTGGAATAACCTTAACGTTCAAACCCTTTCAGATCAGATCTCTTAATTATACAGTGATCCATTTAATTGCAAATCGATTATGATGGTACTTGAATCACTTGTTTTCCCCAAGTAGCTGATGTCACTTTGGAAAATTATGATATTCATACACTTTCACTTTTTAAATTCTCATAAAGTTTTTTCACACAAACTTTATTAAAAAATAATAATAATAAATTCAGTGTAAATGCATATATTTCTTTTTATTATGAAATCATTACTGAATATAAAAAGTCTGGGTGGTCCATTACAGTAGCTTGCTGACTTCACCTCTTGCTCAAAAGCTTTCTGATGATTTAGTCTGAGTGACATCATTTGGAACGGCCTCCTCGTGTGCCACTTATTTTCCGCTGTGGCTTTGCTAAAATAAAATCCAGAGAATGATTAACATCACAAGATACATCAACTCACAGAGCACAGTCGGCCTCTGTATCAAAAGACTGAAGGCATACCTTTTGTTGCGCTTTTCCTGCAGGCTACAGAATTCCTTTTAGTTTTAATCTCTTCCTCCACACGTTGGCTTTTGATTGTATTCTTTCCAGTCTTTGGAGGAACTTAAGAAAGGGCAACAATTACAGTGTAATCAGGATCTGAATACTAATAATACTGAAAGTAGCCAAATAAATAGTGAAGGTGAGATTCTGACCTTTTGAGCTTCTCTTTCCTCTTGTTTTTGCAAATCGATTATGATGGTACTTGAATCACTTGTTTTCCCCAAGTAGCTGATGTCACTTTGGAAAATTATGATATTCATACACTTTCACTTTTTAAATTCTCATAAAGTTTTTTCACACAAACTTTATTAAAAAATAATAATAATAAATTCAGTGTAAGATTTTAAATGGATTACTTGGTTCTTTTTTCCTGTCACCTCTTTGTGAAATCTTAAGAAAAAGGTAGTCAATATGGTTGATTAAACACTAGAAGTAAAAGATAAGGCCCCAAGCAGGCATTTTACACAACAACAAACATTTTT